CGAATCCCTAAAATTTACTCTGGGTTACCAAATGTTTTTTTTCACATTATTATTATTTACCTTAAAATAGATTAGCCAAAATAAATATTGAAAATTATGGAGCACTTTCGATTTTTATAAAAGTTTTAAATTTTTGGCAGATTAATAAATTGATTCTACCAAAAAATTTTTTCTGATGTGTTAAGTTGAACAAAGAAACAAAATCATCATAAAAATCCAAAATTTATACGAATTTGTTCAATATTTGTAAAAAATATGTGTATACTTGGAAATCATCATAAAAATCCAAAATTTATACGTTTGTCACCCAATTTGTACAATATTTATACTTAGAGCAATACTCTTCTCTATTCACCATAGCAAACCAGAATAAAAAGTTATCAATGAAACGTAACTATGAATGAATAGAATAGTAGTAACAGAGAAAATAACAAAAACAAATCAAACACGCTGATTTGTTAGTCTGTTTCTACAATGACATTTAATAACAATTATAAAGAGATCGATCCAAAAAAATTAATTAAACCAGTGAGTGTTGTGAGTTGAATAGATTTGTGCTCTTTTTATTGAAAATATGGTTTTTGCTTTCAGTTTGGCTGATTTCAATGATGGAATACAGTAGAGCCTCGTTAAACCGAATATTATTAGCTTACTATTATATAAAAAATTTGTGCTTATGATTTTGAACAATTTTTAGAAGCGAAATATGTTTGTAAATATGGAAGCGAATAAAGTGATATGTTTTGTGACGATTATGTGTAAAACGTCCCCTACAATCGGTGCAGTAGTTTTTGAGTTTAGCGATCACGAACATACATGTAATTTTTATACCCTTCACCACACTGTGGTACAGGGTATTATGTCTTTGTGCATATGTTTGTAACAGGCAAAAGGAAACGAGATAGACACATGATTCCTTTTGAGAATATGCATAGAATCACTTTCTAAGTCGATTTATTCATGTCCGTCCGTCTGTCTGTGCATGTTAAATTGTAAACAAAGTACAGGTCGCATTTATGATCCGAATTGGATGAAATTTGGCATAGGTCACTTATTCGGCCCAAGGACGAACCCTATTGAAATTGGGAAAAATCGGTTCAGATTTAGATATAGCTCCCATATATATATAGTAAACGGTCTTCCATATATATATTTAGATCTAGAATTATGTCTGCCAACTTTCGTGAAAATCGATCAAGATTTCTATATAGATCCCATATATGGTTTCGTCAGATTTCATGTAAATGGTGCTCCAAAGTCCCAATATATCTTTCGATTTGCACGAAATTTGGCATAACATACTGAATTAAGCCTAATCATTTAGGTCTAGATATAGCTATATATAGTTTCGTGATTTCATGTAAATGGTGCACCAAAGTCGCTATATATCTTTCGATTAGCACGAAATTTGGCATAACGTACTGAAATGAGCCTAGAGAGATGTCTGCCAAGTTTCGAGAAAATCGGTCCAGATTTCTACATAGCTCCCATATATAGTTTCGTCCGATTTCATGTAAATGGTGTCCCAAAGTCCCAATATATCTTTCGATTTGCACGAAATTTGGCATAACGTACTGAATTAAGCCTAGAGTGATGTCCGCCAAGTTTCGAGAAAATCGGTCCAGATTTATATATAGCTCCCATATATAGTTTCGTCCGATTTCATGTAAATGGTGCACCAAAGTCCCTACATATATTTCGATTAGCACGAAATTTGGCATAACGTACTGAATTGAGCCTAGAGTGATGTCTGCCTTGTTTCGTGAAAATCGGTCCAGATATAGATATAGCTCCCTTTTATTATAGATTGATTTTAAATAATTGACGCACCAAGGAACCAATAGGCTGATATGAACAAAATTACTATAACCTAACCTGTGACATGTTTGTTTGGAATCGCTTAATATTTGGATAGAGCCTCCATATATATTTTCGCCCGATTTCAAGTAAATTGGGCATCAAACTCCTCATGTTAGTCAGATTGACATCAAATTTTGCACAACTTACAAAATTGAGCATAGAATTACGTAGTTGCGTTTTCTAGAAGTACAGACATAGCCCAACGGATGACCTATTTATATTTGTTTAAAGTCGATTTACATACTTTATGAATAGATCTAGGCAGATTCACATTTAGATAAATATCACATATTTTATTTCATCCAATTTCATGTTAATAGTCCTGTTTAATATACCCATAGTGGTGAAGGGTATCATATAGTCGGCCCCGTCTGACTTTACTACTTTCCTTACTGGTTATATATATAGAGATATTACAACAGATTTTCTCTTATTAGAATCAATATTAGTACCCTTGCTTAGGAAAACCACAACTAATTACTTTGAAATAAAGCATATAATTAAATAAAAGAAAACAAAAAATTCAATTTAGTTTGTATAACTTATCTTAAAAATGTCAATGTTAACGTGTCAACATCTATATGAGGCGTACTCAACGTAATTGTCATACTGTATACAGCGATATCGAAAACAAGTCCCATCAATTTCAATCAGTTTAACCAAAAACTCTAAAGTTGAAAAATAAATCACAGCAAAAAGGATCTAAACTCCAGAGCACAATAAATTGTTCTTCAGTGGTGTGTTCTTTGCACTTACTTTAGTGGTAGACAAACATTTCGAAACACATGTTTCTCATACATCCCGCCTTAGATAGCACATTCCGCCACAAAAAAAAAACACAAACACAAACAACCATAGTGATGTCCTCTGGTACATAATTCACAGCTCTTGTGTCGTCTAACACAACAAACACGCGTACGGGGTTACATCAAACATATCAGATCGAAACTTCTCCCATTATGTACATAAATACTTATACACATATATTTACTATGCTATCGAAATGCAATCGCATCTAACAAATGTATATTTATTTACAGAGAGAGTCTAAAAAGACTTTCTATGGTTATTTTTTTTTATTTTTAAAGAAATAGTAAAAGATGTTGTACAGCAATATTACAATCACGACAACAAAAACTTGGTGTTACAATAAAAGGTTCCAAAAGTGGTGTTACAACCACGTTTTGTTTCACACTCGAGAATGGCACTTGCTATAGAAGTTCTTTTAATTCCGCAAGAAGTCGTTATCGTTTCTACAAACAAAAAAAAGGAACGCTTTTGTTTGCAGATTTTCAATGTTATAAATAATATTACAAATTTAAATTGAAAAACACTTATATCACAGAAAATGTAACTTGATATCAAAACACGGTATAGACTCTATTCCATTAGGATGTCAAAAATGAAATTAGGGTGTAAAACCAATCTCTCAATTCTTACTTTATGAGTTACTATACATATTTTACTCAATTTGTATACATATATAGAATATAATCACGAAACAATATTAAAGACGTATATCGAACAGTCTGAATTTGTTTTAAAATATTAACTCACAAAAAATTTTTTATTAATTATGTTTATCTAAAACATTTCATTGTCATTCTAGATAAAACGAACGGTTTAATACACAATCAAATAAATCAACCACAAACAAATGCAATTCACGAAACTGTCTGATAATTAAAGTTGCGAAAATGAACACAGCGACACATGATTTATAGAAAGATTAAGGCTAGTTGTAACCTTACCTCCATGTGCCCTATGCACAGAATAGCTGTCATTATGATGCCGTTCGCCTCGAAATACAGCCAACTGTTCCATTTGGAACCAACAATAATTGCACCTCGAATCGCGTTGCTATGAAAACCAAATCGTAAATAAGAGCGATTCTGTTGTCCTTCATGTCCGTGCTTTTTGTGCTATACAATTTCGAATAATAATTGCAAAATAACGAAATACAAAAGTTAAACAAACGAATAACGTACGTAAAAACAAAGACCCAGCAACAGAAGAGTCTAAAAGCCAGCCTGCTATCCAGCCAAACTAGTATTGGAAAAACCATCCAGTCAGCCAACCCACAAAACTAAAGCTATAAACGCAGATAGTCAAACATACAGATAGATATTTGTGCAAGTAGTCATGTGTGTATAGAAAGGATACGTTGTGTGCTCCATCCTGCCGTGGAGTGGAAAAAACAGGTTACGAATAACTTGCATATTTTTATGAACATTTATATTTTTGAGCTGTGAACCGATAGCTGTGATACCAACGAACCACTATCAACACGAAACCGGAAACAAACAAAACGAAAACAAACATGAACGTCTTTTTCCCCATTCGCATTGACTGACCCAGGCACTAGTATACAAATTCCAGAATTCAAATGCGCCAGTGTAAGTGTATCCAACCGCATTTCTGCTGCTGAAACAATAGCAATAAGCACAAGGACAAACGAAACGAAAAATTGTTTTTGAAGCGAATGGACAAAGCAGACCTTTTAAAAAACAATCGACATCATTTTGTGTGAGAACGCAAGATTGTGATTTACACGCATCCTCTAATCCCTTCATCAGTTCTTCGTCGAGTGGTTATATTGTGTGTGTGTGTGTGTGAATGTACATATTTTCGGCCCCTCACTCCGCCATACAACTCTAAAGCAACCGTAATGAATTTCGAATGTAATCCAGAGATAATTGTTTATATATGAGTTTGTAAATGTGTTCACGTCTTATTTAAAACATATCGCCTATAATTTCGGTACTCGGTAAAGCAGACTTAACAAGCAATAAATGTCGAGTTAAAACCCCTTGTTACGTTTCTTCGTGTGGCCTGTAAGCCTGTAAGAGAACAACAATACGGGACACTAGGCTGACTGAGAAGCCAACAAAAGTACACAAAAAGAACAAGGAGTAGAGCTAAAGGGAGCAATTGAGAGGCTGGTCAACCAAAACTATTAATTAAGGCCAACTAAATCTGACTCTGAAACAAGCAAACACAAGCAATTTTCGCACACCATTAGAATCGCATGCACTCAACAAACACTTCAGTTTCATTAGCAAGAGACTGGACCAGTGGTCTAAAAATATTTCATACTCTGCGCCACTGAGAGCACTCGCACCCAGAAACACAGCCGACCATTTAACGACGAGCCATTCATCTGGGCAGTTAGATTCACATAATGACCACACCGACGGAAGTGAAATATACGAGTTTATCGCTGTCATCGTTAATCACATACTTTATATCCTGCTTTGTTCTTGTTAGCTGCCTGCTGGAGGACGTGCCTTTGACTTTGGCAACCAAAGCCTCCACATTGCCATCGCCCGGCGATGGTTGGAGTTGGGATCATGGTGTCGATTTGAATGAGGATTTTCGTATTTTATGGAAAATCATCAATCAAGATATAACATTTGAAATTCAAGCACGTACAATGGGTTATGTGGGCTTTGGATTCTCGCCTGATGGAAATATTGCCGGCTCCGATATGGCAATCGGTTGGGTTGACCGAGGTCACACATATTTCCAGGTAAGTTTTCACTTTTATTTTTCTCATTTTTTGTGCTTGAAAACGGCCGCACCCATAGGCTGTGTTCATTAGGTTAGATGGGTTTCAAAGAGTCGAGGATGTACAATGTTCTCACCTCTTCAGTGGGGAAGCACCAATAAAATGTTCCACCCGCGGATCACAGATATTTTGTAATAATAATTTATATGATTTAGTTTTCGACACTTGATTTACGTTAGTTTTATTATTCCAGTTTTGCAGTCTAAGGAAATAGCTCGACTCCGCAGCTTTGTTAATTTCATACGCATTACCCAAAATGTAGGGCATTTATCTTAACTCCTACTCCAGTTAAGTGAGTAGAAATTTGCACACAATGCTAAATGAGACATCATAACACAACAAAAAACTTAACAACAATCCAAAGCAGAATTCCTAAATAATATAAATAGCAGTTAACACTATATTGCCCATTTGCTCTTACGGTCATTTTATATTTATGACCGTTTAGTATAATTTCTCATTCGAACACGTGTTCGAAATTAAATCAGTAAAACCTTTTCCCCTAACGACGCCTTTACAACTAAACATGCAATAGAAATATGTTGAGACTATTTAACCATCCTAATCCTAACTCAATGAATAAATTGTTAAATAAATAAATTGTCAATGTTTGTATGTGTTTAACTTATAAAAAACGGGAAAATCTGTGCTGCTCCAAACTTTCCCAGCAGGCAATTAAAATAAATTGCAAAGCAAAGACCAACGAACTGCAGTATCAAAATTGTCATACCGAACTTGACACGAGTATTAAATAAAAATCTAATGATTGGAATATTGTTGTATACTCGCGTTCGAGTTGTTCATACCAGAAAATTTAAGTTTTTCTTACAGAAAACTGTTTCAATTCAATTTTAATAAAAAATCAATGTCAGAAACTTATAGAAAACGTCTTTATATATAAACTCAATTTTTATACACGCAGCCTAGAGACGAATCTGGAATGACGATAACTCTCGAAAGGAGTTACCAATTTAAACCAAACTTTGCACATCGTAACATTTCCTCAGACAGAATATCAGAGCACTCCTTATGGTATCTCCCCTACAAATGGTCAAAATATTGCTGAAAAATAAATGTATAATATCCTGCGAAAGGGAAGTGAGAAAGGTTGAAATTATTTGTCCACTCCTTTTAGTAATTCCCTTATAAAGAGTGCATATTTTAAAAATGTGTAAATATCTGACAATGAGAACGAAGTATCCCATTTTGTATAAAACTCGAACATATGGTATTTATAGACCACTTGTATATCGAACTCCTCGCTAGACTTCTGAAAGACTACGAGAGCTGCGGGAAAATTCGTAAGTTTACTCCAATGAAGAAAATGTTTGATGTGACCAATGTAAAAAATGTAGATTGAGAGGAAAAGCCACGTTGAATCAGCGAACTCATTCGGCAGTAGTATATATAGTTCTTGGGAGGATAGCAATAGAGCATCAACGAACAAAAAAAAGTAACCAGAACCCAACAGGCAGTTAGATGAGTTTGACTTCTGGGGACAAAAAGTGATGATTGTGTCGATACTCTAGTTTTGACTACCTGCACAAACAACACATCTTTTTTAGCGTAGATAAGTCAAAAGTCCAGTATCTTAAAAATTACTTACCTATTTTCTCTAATACTCGATCAACTAAGTAATTTATAATGAAAAATAAAAACTACTGTTTTGAAGGTATATATTGTTGGCAAGTTCATAGCACATTAATTAAATTAGCTGAAATACAAGTAATCCATTTCCAGTAAGGAATCCTTAAAAGTCCGCATATATATTTTGGCCCGTTTAATTTTTGGCTAGAGTATTTTCTCATCAAAATGGCTTTAACTTGGCATAATGGATTTCTGATAAACACTATAGGTTAGCGTTTTAAAAATACCGCATATATATTTCCCGTTTAATTTTCGGTATGGAGGGTATTAAAAGTTCGGTCCGACCTTGACAACATTGTCACTTGTTATTTGATGTCCTCATGTCATATATAGGTAGTAAATATGTTGAGATATTTGTAATTTTTTAATGAGACTCTATTTTATAATAAACGTTTTTGATGTATATAACAACACATCCATCACATTAAATATTATGTCAATGCATTGGCTTTTTGTTGTGTATAGAGTTGAGCTTAATAGCCAAATTTTGCAATGAAAAGGGAAGTCTGAGGAAAGTTTTTTTTTCAGTGATACACATTTTTCCATAGATTCCAGTTTGGTATCGGATGTTCGCGGTGTGTTTTTATAAATTCAAATACATTGACCAACGATTAGGCAATAAGCCACTATAAAATGGTACCACCTGATTTGATATTTTCCGCGGCATAGTTAGATTTTTTATACTTTAAAGTTTTTAAGGGGGGAGGTCCCCTTAAAAACTTTCTCGGTGTCAAAAATGTTTTTGATCTAATTCGAATCTACTATAATTCTAGAATGTTCCTACAAAATTTCAAGTGAAAATCTCAAGAGGTAGACATGTCCTCTTTCTAACACCGTTGGAATTTTCGGATTCCGATGTTCCAGTAAGGAGTTATCATGCCTGCATCGAAAATATGGACTTCTCTTTGAACCCAAAAAACAACAACAAATTTTGGTAAATTATTTTTCTTCCTTTTTAAATCTTCAAATATATATGTGCCAAGTTACAAACCTTAACAAGCATTGGTATTCATTTACCAGTCCATTTAAAATCTTAAAAATAAAAAATCGAGAATGGGGGGGTTCCCTTAAATGAAAGCATTACTCAAATATTATTAGTATCACTGTGGGTATAAAAAATTAAATCAGTGCAGAGTTACAAATTTGTTGTGCGCGAGAGTGCAAAATAAATCGAAATTTTTCAAAGATATTTTCGCCACAACAAAAATGTAGATACAGGGTCGTGTATTTCCTGAAATTCACCTTCTAGTTGAACTGATATTTGGGCCATGCTCCGTGCTTCTGATTAAAAATATTTATTTTAGGAATGATATTTGGGCCATGCTCCGTGCTTCTGATTAAAAATATTTATTTTAGGAATTCTAAATTGAAAAATTATTAATTTTTATTATTTTTGTTAAATAATAAAAATCAATCAATTGTAATTGGTAGCTTGCCATGTAGACTGGCGTTGTTCGCTCCCTCATTTGTTGTCCGACACTGAATTATGATCAATCACTTTCTAACAATTGAATAATTAAAAAAAAAAACTTTAAAGAATGAAACAGTAAGGAAAGTTCAAAAGTCGGACGGGCCGACTATATGATACCATTCACCATTTTGGGTACATAAAAGTGATGCTTATATAGCTATATGTAAATCAGGACTAATGGAACAACCGTGGCATACGCCATCTAGTATGCTGCAGCACATTGCATTGTGCACAATTTCATCTCGGTAGGAGAAACCATTATTATTATTTGGCGCACCAATTGCATGAACTCAGACGAAAATATATATATTTACGTATGAAAAAAATTAAAAACTCCAATACGCGTTATTGTAGCTCCAATATTATACCTTGTGCAGAAATTCGTACCAAATGATCCGATTTCAATGAAACTTCACACACTCTATCATAGTCTCAATTCCATACGTTATGTCCAATTTTTACATAAAATCTGACGAAGCTATATATAAATCTAAACCGATTTCAATGAAAATTAACACACTCTATTCTAGTCTCAATCCCATAAGTGTACCAAATTTCGTCACAACGGGACAAAAATAGGGAGTTCTGACGAAGCTATATGTGGGAGTTATATCTATATATGATCCAATTTCAATGAAACTGAACACACTCTGTTCTAATCTCAGTCCCATAAGTTATGCCAAATCTTGTCTCAATCGGCCAAAAATGGGGAGTTTGGTGCACCATTTACATAAAATCGAAGCTATATATAAATCTGAACCGATTTCAATGAACCTTAACCCACTCTATTCTAGTTTGAAATGAACCCACGATGAACTATACTTCATCGAATTAAAACCTCCGATGTTATAAAAAATGGGTGGGATATTTATATAGATAATATTAAACCTAAGTGAATCTTTGCTCGGAATATTTTCCAATGATATCATAGCAACTACTGGAGACTCGTGCAATTTAAAGAAATACCGCTCTCCAATTTTTTTACCACTATTAGTATTCCTAAAGTTCTACAAAAAAGTAGTAAGAAGAATTGTAAAAAATTTAATTGTTTTTGATTTATTTAACATTTAAAGTTTTATTTTGCCTCTGAATGTCGTGTAAGTGACTGTGGAAGTGCCCATATATAGTTTCATCCGCTTTTTTGACAAGGTATCTAAAGAAGTCAAGGAATGTTTCCTTTGCTATGTAGAATTAGAAGGATAAACAGGAAAAAATTTTCGACTGTCATAATAAATACAGTAATCAGTTTGTAATCATATGAGTATTAATATAAGTTTTTCTAGAAATTTGTCTATGATAACGCTATACAATATTAACGGTTCTGTTCTATTAACAATAGAGTTATTTGTGAATCTTGGTATTTTAATGGGTACAAACTTAAGCTTTAACAAACATCTAATATCTACGGTTAATAAAGCCTATGGTGTGTTAGGAATTATAAAACGCTGGACCAAAAAATTCTCGGAACTAAACAACTTTTTACGTTTCTTGTTAGACTTATATTGAATACGGCTCTATTGTATGGGATCCCTACTATGCATTTCTAACGACATAGAATCCGTGAACAAACAATTTCTACTTTTTGTACTGAGAGCTTTGCACTGGAATAGTAGTTTTGTGTCGCCATTTTGCTTTTATATTAGTTGGACTTTTAAATGTCAAAACGTGTATCTGCATGTTATTAGCCCCTTTCGAGGGTTTTCATTTCTTTGATTTTATTGTTTGTTTCACCGTCATAAATAAAAACAATTTACTTTGGATTTCATTTACAGGATAGACATATTAAACGCAATGGCGACCCCGAACCAGTTGTGGACCCCTCTCAGGACTACATTCTTATCATGGGATACGAAAATAGTACTCACACCGTTCTACGCTTTCGAAGGAAACTCAATACATGTGATGCGATGCATGACATAGCAATAACGGTAAGTTTTGAAACAAAAAATAAATAAATACCTGACGAAGGATACGCAGTAATATTGATTAATGACTTTGCGTCAAACTCTCCAAAAGTTTTCAGCTATTTAAACAATGTTCTTCTATTTGTGCTTTACACATTACGACGAAATGTTTTAATGAGTTTTAAAACTTTCTCCAGTCAATTTATAACCCAAAACTATTCTCAAATTTGGATAATGAAATTAGTTCAAATACTATATTTTAAATTTAAGCTGCGACAAATAGCAATTTTCATAATAAAGCAAATTTAAATTGTCGATATTTTATGTTTCTTTACATAAACTTGAACGTATTCGGAATCTAGGAATTATAGAATTATTAGTAACAATTCATTACGTGCATCAAAATTTTTCGCACGTCATCAAAATAAATTTATTATTTACCCAATACAATGAGATTAACTTTACAAATATAATTTTTCCTGTTTCGCTTAGCAAAATTTTCCTTTAGATTGCGTTATTTATTATAACCAAAATAAAATAAATGGAAACTGAAAGATGAGACCGAATAAAAAGTCCATTATATAAAAGTTTTGTATGACAAATATGTATAAAAACTTTGGACAGTTCGCTATTAGAGTAAAGATTTGTATGACCGCATAACGTACACGGCAGTAATTAATTGCGATATTCTTGATCAGCGCAAAATTCTAAGGTGATTTAAACATGTCCGCCTGTCTTTTGTTACCAACCTAGCTGCTAAACGAAATAAGATTTATCTTTAACATTTTGCATAGAGTAGTCTTATGTCTGCAGGCAGGCCAAGCTCGATAATGAGTTAGATTTTGTTCCACGTTTAGGCATAGTCCTATTTTACGGTACCCCCAATTTTCGGTATTTTGAAGATTTTGAGCCAGTTTTTTCAACGGAATAATATTGGTTTAAGTTTAGGCAGAAAATCAATTCATATATTATTGAAAACGAAGTTACGTTCGGCCCGACCAAACTTTTAAAATTAATGGAGGCTCCTAGGAGAAAACTCATGTTATGATAGTAACTTGAATATAATAATATTTGGTGCGACCAAGTTACAGCCATTTCCTTTGGAAAACGTATCCGAATTCCCCAAAATACCGGAAATTTGGAGGGTACCGTTATATGGAGGCTACACCAAAACGTGGACCCATATGTCCTATTTGCTACACCAAACATCATAAGAGTATTAGGGAAGTCTGTGCCCTATCTTAAATATTGCGAACTTTATCGTGATTTCAACAGACAGATAGACAGACAGGTGGACATAGAATCTACATAGAATTTTATTTTTATAAAGAATTGAGAACGGCGGGACTGATTTCACAAAAATTTCTTTCTGTTATCTGTAACTGAAGTGAGAAGGTTTTTATGAAAGAAAATTTTGAGAAAAATACGCGAAAATCTTGAAAAATATATTTTGAAAGAACGGCTGGACCGATATGCCTGCCATTACGTGGACGTTCCCAAATTGATGAGCTACTATACATTGTTTACATAATTTTTATAAAATTTTTTCGTTTGACTCCCACGCGCTTTTCACGAAAACAGGTTATGCAAAATGTAACGAAAAAATTAAACAGAAACACTCCTCTCGCCCCATAGAGCATATAAATAAAGTATGGTGAAAACGGTGTAGTAGTTCTTGAGTTGCGGTGCAAAAACAAGAAAAACTAAATATTGCGCCATCTGTTGGATGAACTTCAAACTAAACAGAAATTCTTCTCACGCCCCATAGAGCCTGTGCATACAATTTGGTCAAAATCGCTGCAGTGGTTCTTGAGTTACGGTCCAAAAACACAACAAGTGAAAACGCGTTTAGTTCGGCCGGCCGAACTTTGGATACCCTCCACCATAGTTATACTGACAGATACATGCAATGAAAATATAGGGAACATACCAAAAAGTGGGGACCAATATTGATTACATAGTGTAGGAAATAGTGAATATTTGGGGATATCATTATATGAGGGCTATGCCTAATTAATGACTGGTATATGCCAATATTGAACCCAATATTTTAATTGTTTATCTCAATTCTTTCCTTCAGGAGGTATCACTATATTGAGGAGATGCCTAAATGTCTGCCGATATATTTAATTATCATCATGTTTGAGTTTTTTATCACAATATCTTTAGAAGGCGGAATGCTTACAACAGATGGCTAAATAGTCTTTGTAGGGTAAAATTTGACTATCCGCCGTAACTACTACCCAACCGCAACACACGGAACAAATCAGATAACTATTTTAAGGGGACCCCCCCATTCTCGGGGTCAAAATTTTTGTTGATATAATTCGAATCTACACTAATTAAAGAACGTCCCTACAAAATTTCAAGTGAAAATCTCAAGAACTCTTGAAGATATATCCGATTTATTGTGTCAGCATCAAGTGACGGCTGAAGGACTTCTCAAACTTTAAACGCGATTTTCTCTAAACATTTTTTTGCGAATGGCGGGCACGATAACTCAAAAACTAATAATCCAATCGGTTCCAAATTTTGCAACGTTTCTCTGGGAGTGTATAGCTCTCGTATGAACTAGGATAAAGCCAATCGGTGAAGATCTTCCTTATTTTTTAACTTGGTTTTTGGTAAAAAATCTGCGATTTTCCAACAATATTTTTTCAAAGGTCCACCATTTTGTTAATTTTAGAGCGAAGTCAATAATCCTAGTTCATACGAGAGCCAGACATGTACTCTTTCTAACACCGTCGGAATTTTCGGATTCCGATGTTCCAGTGAGGAGTTATCATGCCCGCCATCAAAAATAAGGACTTTTCTTTAATTACAAAAAACAACAACAAAACAATAACAAAAATTTTTTGTAAATTATTTTTCTTCTCTTTTAAATCTTCAATTATATATGTGCAAAGTTACAAACCTTAACCAGCATTGGTATTGATTTACCAGCCCATTGAAAAACTTGAAAAATTAAAATCGGCTGGTTAAATGTGCTGGTAAATGAATACCAATGCTTGTTAAGGTTTGTAACTCCGCACATATATATTTGAAGATTTAAAAAAGAAGAAAAATAATTTACAAACAATTTTTGTTGTTGTTTTTCGTGATCAAAGAAAAGTCCTTATTTTTGATGGCGGGCATGATAACTCCTCACTGGAACATCGGAATCCGAAAATTCCAACGGTGTTAGAAAGAGTACATGTCTGGCACTCGTATGAACTAGGATTATTGACTTCGCTCTAAAATTAACAAAATGGCGGAACTTTGAAAAAATATTTTTGGAAAATCGCCGATTTTTTATCAAAAACCAAGTTAAAAAATAAGGAAGATCTTCACCGATTGGCTTTATCCTAGTTCATACGATAGCTATACTCTCACAGAGAAACGTGTAAAAATTTGAAATCGATTGGGTTATTAGTTTTTGAGTTATCGTGCCCGCCATTCGCAAAAAATGTTTAGAGAAAAACGCGTTTAAAGTTTGAGAAGCCCTTCAGCCGTCACTTGATGCTGACACAATAAATCGGCTATATCTTCAAGAGTTCTTGAGATTTTTACTTGAAATTTTGCAGGGACATTCTTGAATTAGTGTAGATTGGAATTAAGTCAACAAAAATTTTGACCCCGAGAATGGGGGGGTCCCCTTAATATAAAAAAGGGGGTTATATGGGGACTACCCCAAAAAAGGGGTGAATATTAATAATTTTTGGTGGGGAGATTTGTAACCATATACGACTACAAAATACCAAATTTCAGCGAATTCCGTTGAAAACCGCGCTCAAGAACCCTAAAATACCGAAAATTGGGGGCATCTTATATGGGGCTACCCGAAAAAATTGACCTATATTTATAATTTTTAGTACAGAGATTTGCTACCCAATTAGAACTCAAAGTACCGAATTTCAACGAATTCGGTTGAAAAATGCGATCTAAGCCCCCAAATAAAATCGCAGAATTGGGGGTACCCTTTATATGGGGTCTACCCGAAAAAATTGACCTATATTTATAATTTTTTGTGAAGAGATTTTCTACCCAATAAGAACTCAAATTACTAAATTACAGCCAATTCGATGGAAAAAATCCGGTCAAAACCCCCCAAAAACTGGAAATGGGGAGGTACCCTTATATGGGGGCTACCAGAAAAAGTGGACCTATATTTATAATTTTTAGCGGGGACATTTGGTACCCAATAAGAACCCAATGTACCAAATTTCAGCGAATTCGGTTGAAAAACACGCTCAAGAACTTCAAAATACCGAAAATTGGGAGGTACCCTTATATGGGAGCTATGCCTAAACGTGGACCGATACATCCCATCTTCGAACTTGACCTGCCTGCAGACAAAAGACGACTATATGCAAAATTTTGGGGCTCTATCTCAATTCGTTTAGATGCTAGAGTGATTACAACAGACAGACGGACATGCTTAGATCGTCTTAGAATTTTACGCTGATCAAGAATATATATACTTTATAGGGTCGGAAATGATTATTTCGATGCGTTACAAACGGAAAAACAAAACTAATATACCCTCCATACTATGGTGGAGGGTATAAAAAAACTAAATATTGCGCCATCTGTCGGATGAACTCCAAACTACACAGTAACACTCCTCACGCCCCATAGTGCATGTGCATAAAATTTGAGTATGAGTTTAGCGATCACGAATATACACGTAATTTATGTATATATATATATATATACTAGCGGGCCCGGCAAACGTTGTCTTGCCTAGCAATATTGTTGATGTAAAATTTTCGACATTTTAGGTTTTTTATATCCTCCATAAGATTGACTTTCGGATTTAAATTAATTTTTCCAAAATATTTTGAAGACTTGAATATAACAGTAGCAAAATACTATGTTAGCTTTTTCTACCCTCCACGATTTAAGATAGAACTTTCTACTACTGATAAGATATTTGGTATTGAAAATGTTCGATTTTGCTTCACTTTTTAGGGTAGCCCCCATTTAACGGTACCCTCAACATTCTACAGAATTGCTTCTAATTTAATATTAAGTATACTAAAATA